AATGTTAAGGGGAATGACCATTAAATTGTAATGGGTATGGATGGATGACAGAACGTAAGGTTATTACAGCAATTTGGAGAGCAGCATCAAAGCATTTTCCTTGGTGGAGGAAGCTTCAGGATGATTCTGGGAGAAAAAGTATCATTAATGTCCCTCTTCTATGTTTCAAAATCTAAGGTGTTGCTCCTGTTTATGACAGTCTCTGGTCTACTGTTACCACTGCAAAGTCAATGTCCATAGCCTCATCTGGTTTCCATTTCTTCATTGTTAGAATCAAGCGCCTTTGTCGAGGGAGTCAGGTACAACAAGGACAAGTACCTTGCAATAAAGCCTACAGAAATCCTGAAGGACCCCTCTTGGGTGCGTACAGACACCCGTGGGCAGACTCAGTGGGCAGAGCATTCAGCCAAGGGTTCATTATCCTTACCATGGCAATTTAACAAGTCAGACAGCAGACTGTAGGGTAAATCCAGTTAGCCTAGTGCTGCCATTAAAGGAATAATGAACACCATGCATGCTTCATGATGGTCAGGGCAGAACCCCAAACTTTTAATTTAAAAAATTGTAATCCTCAACCTCTTTCATCCAAAACATCACACAGTAGCAGCAGACAGATGATTTCGTTCTGTAGAGGGATTCATTAAGGGACCAAACTGCTGTACAGAGAAATGTGGCCTAGGAGGAGGTGAGGGAAAGATTCAGAAACTTTATGAAAATTAAGCCTTTTTTTTGAGGCAGTTGTGGGTGCACAGGTAGTGATTAGGAACAAACTAAAGAGATTCATAGGTCTATTCCCCACTTTCCTTCAGTTTTACTATGCTGAACCATGCTGTTTCCTAGCAACATCCTCGCACGGCCAAGAGACCGAATAATTCCATTACCACAAAAATTTCATATGATGCCTTCTATAGCCACACCCACTTCCTTCCCACTTAAAACTGAACAACCACTCATCTCCTTTGTTTCGCAGTTTTGTCACTGAAAAGCATGTTACTTAAATATAACCATAAAGCATGTATCCAAAATATGTTGTCTTTCACATTAAATATGAAGGACTTTTTGGTACATGCATCTTATCAAAGTATAAAAGTTCCCCTTTATTCCCATGTCTCTGGAAATTTTATGGTGCTGAATTTTGCTAAGTGCTTGTGTACACACACACACACACTCACACACACACGTACACACACATACACACACGCGCACACACACACGGATATTTTATTACTTACAACAAGGTTATGCTGATTGATCTTTGAGTACTGAAAAGGACTTGCATCCATGGGGAAAACCCTACTTGGTTCTTCTGTGTAATTCTCTTTATCTATTGCTGCACTGTATTTGCTATTGTTTTGGTAAGGAGCCTTGTGTTTTTCTTGTCACAGACTAATAATAAACAGCAGGATGCCCATTGGCCTTTGCTGATGTCAGTCAGGCACTGCTTTTACTACTGTTTGGCTGGAGTGATGTGGTTATTAAATGAAGTACAAAAGTAGTTTGTAATAGCCAGAACCTGGAAGCAGCCTAGTGCCCCTCAACTGAAGAGTGGATAGAGAAAATGTGGTACATCTACACAATGGAATCTTGAAATTTGCAGGCAAATGGACTGTGCTAGAAGAAACCATCCTGAGTGAGGTAACCCAGTCACAAAAAGACAAACATGGCATGTACTCTCTCATATATGGATTTTAGACATGGATCAGGGGAGTGCCAGCCTACAATCCCACAGCCAGAGAGTCTGGGAAACATAACTTTCAACCAATGACTGATGGAAGCAGAGGTAGACACCCACAGCTAAACACTGAGCTGTACTCAAGAAATCCAGTGACAGAGAGGGAGGACTGATGAGCATAGGGGTCATGACTGGGCTTGTTTAACCCACAGAAAGAGCTGACCTGACAAAGGTTAGCTGTTGAACCCCAGACTGATGGCTGGGAGTTCAGCATGGGACTGATACAGACCCCCTGAATGTGGGTGTCTTTGAGGAGGCCTAGGCAATCTATGGGGCCTTGGGTAGTAGATCAGTATTTATCCCTGGCATACAAATGGACTTTGAGTGCCCATCCCACAATGAGGGATGTTCTCTCAGCCTGGACTCTTTGGGGAGGGCCTAGGACCTGCCCTGGATGAAATGACAGACTCTGGAGATCCTCCATGGGGGGCCTCACCCTCCCTGGAGATCGGAGTAGAGATTGAGTGGGGAACTGGAGGGCCTGGTGAGGGTGTGGGGGAAGTGGGAGGGAGAGGGAGCTGGGATTGACATGTGAAGCAAGCTTGTTTCTAAAAAAGGAAAAATAAAACATTAAAAACAAGAAAAATAAAAATAATATAGAATGGACAAATACAGTTGCAGAAGATTGCACAAAATGTCAAAAAGAATTACAGATTTTGATGACCCCTCATGAGAGGCCTCACCCTCCCTGAGGAGTGGATGGGGTGGGATGGGCAAATGGTGGGGAGAATGGGAGGAAGAGAGAGAGAGGTAACTGAGATTGGCATGTAAAATAAGATTTTTTAACTTAAATAAAAATTAATTTTAAAATGAAAAAAAGTAGTTTTCTTTTCTAGACGTCCCCTTCTCTCATCCTTGACAACTGAAGGAGCAAACAGCAAGTGTACTAAGGCTGTGCACCCCACCTATACCTGTTTGCATTTTAGTTACTTACTCTGCCGTCAGCTTCCCCCTCACCATGGCAAAATATATACATTAAAAGCAGGAAAAGATTATTTGGCTCATAGTTTTCAGAGATTTCAGCCCATGATTGTTTGAGCCAGTCACTTTTAGGCCTGTGATGAGGCAGAGTATCATGGCTGAAACAGAGTAGAGCAAGTCTGTTCATGCCCAGCAAGGAGAGAGGCAGAGACAGAGATAGGGAGAGACTAGAAAGGGCTGGGGCCCAATACCCTTCAAGACCGATCTCCACAGTGGTCTGACTTCTTCCCATCAGGCCTGTCCTTTAATGGTTCCACTTTCTCAGGCTCTAACGCATGTCCTTTGGGACAGTCTAGATTCAGACCAAAGCAAGGCTATCTGCATCTTCCGTTACTTTTGGTAATGGATCAAAAGTAAAACTATAGCCTTACTATGATGTATTTTGTGGAATGCTTAGACTTCTAGTGAGTCTGCCTTCTTCTGTCATCCCTTCAGAATCCCTTCATTCTAGCTTATGTATCAGTCCAAGAGTGTTGGTTGTGCATAGCTGTGGGTTAACTTAAATCCGCATTCCTGCAAACCGAAGGAATCTTTTTATTTTGAGAAACCTATCCTAGTATCAATACACCTGATGTCTGTAGATGGTAATTTATGAAAATCTAATTAATCCTTGATGATCAGCCATTGTGAAGCAGCTTTCCACCATAGAAGATGCACTATTGATTGATTACAAATGATAGAAAGTTGAAGGACACAAATGACCTCATACAGCCACATTCAAGGGCTGTCTCTTTGTGGGTTTCCTTTACTGCTACAGGGATGAAGTATTGGGAATCTTCTTACCCCTTGGTAAGAAGGAAGGGAACTTGTGGATTTATGGTAACATTACAATAGATCCATGGTAATTCAAGTGCCTGAATATCTAATCGAAACTCACAGGAGCTTCCTTTGAACTCTACTGCCTAGCTTTTAAGGGCTGCCTAAGACAAGATCCTGGAAACAAAGGGCACCTTCTTGCTAACCTTCTGAAGGCAATTGGGGACTCGACCCCATTGCTGCAAAGAAATGAGTTGTTCTAAAAACCTGCTGCAGCCTGAAAGCAGATTTGTCCCCTAGACCCCGAACTGCAGATGAGAACAAAGCCAGCAGCCTCCTGAATGCAGTCTTGTGAGACCCAGAGCAGATGTCCCAGTCAAGCCAGGTCTGGACTTGTGACTTACAGAATTGTGCAAAATTATGTGTGTGTTGCTTCAAGTATCAACTTTATGGTAATCTGTTACATAATAACAGATAATGAATATGGGAACCCACAGAATATAATCTTTGTAGTGAAAACTTTAGACGTCAGAAGAAATTCTCCCCCTCACATTGCTGACAAATGACACATGAGTTTTTGTACTCTTAATGAAGTAATGCAACATATATTATCTGGAGACATCTGTGGCATGCTGGGATAGGGTGTGGGTCTTGGTCTTATCTGATGATGGAGATCATTATCTCCATCATAAGGTGGATGCAGGAATTCAATGTAATGCAGGTAAAAGTGGCCTGGCATAGGGCCAGGTGTTCAGTCCATTGAGTGTTGCTATTGGCTTCTTATTTCAGAGATCAAGATTCTGTCAACATCCACGTTCCAATGGCTAAAGATTGCAGATCTCTTCTGTTCCCCACCCGGTTTCCGGTGATTCTTCATCCACTTCCACAAAATCAAAACGTGCTTGGTGCAATTCTACAGTTCTCTTTCTTCACAAGTACCACCCACCTCAACAGTAAATGAACCTCAAGCATTCCTTCAAGTACCCACCCAGGACTTCTCCACAGAAACGACCACATTTCTGATGAATTCGGATTTCATTAAAAGGTTCATTATTCCTTCACTAAAATACTGCCCCCCCCCCACATAGTGTACTCTTGACATCTACTTTTCTCGCCCCTGAAAAAGTGTGGATAGGAAAGCCTTAAGGAGGACTTGGACCGCCCTATTGGAGGCGTGGGCAGCGCGCATCTCCAGCCCCTTCCAGTAGGATATGCCTGGGACTACTGACCCGCCGGCCTTGTTCGTTGCCCAAAGCGACAGCAATCACACACTTTAAACGTAGCTACTTACGAGGCCTGCTGTAAAGAGGTGAGGGCAGGGGCAAGTTCCGAGTTCTAGCGACCTCTCCTCTGCCCCTCCCTAGACCCCGCTGCCACGCAGTGCCACATCAGCGACTGCACAGCAAGCCCAGCTAGGTTCCTTTCTAGGATGCGAATGGCCCAGTGGGCGGAGGCGAACTGAGCTAGCACTGAGTGGCGGGCTGCTCCACCAATCGGCGACCGGGGAGGAGGCTTGGCAGCCAACCGCATCCCAAGCCAGTGCCCCGCCAGGAAAACAGATGAAGCGCATCTGGACAGCTGTGCTGAGAAAGTTTGTGGGCCCCTTCCCGGCCTGCCATCTGCAAGGCACGTCTCCCACGTCGTCTCCTGCTAGGCACTTATTACTTATTTATTTTTCCCAAGAAGCAATCGGCAGTCCAAGGGTGAACTTCTTTTCTCCCCGCTACCGCATCACCCCCGCGAATTCCCCCCCTCCCGCCCTTGCAAGGCGAGGCCACATCACATTCAACACAGTTGTTTAATTTTCATGGGGCTTTGCGATCAAAAGAACAGAAACAGCAACAAAAACCTAGCCGCCATCCGATCCTAACTGGCAAAGTGGGGAAAGCCCGGTGCTGAGTGAACAGACCAAGTTGGGTAAGTTCTGAAGACAGGGATGTCATCCTTGTCCTTCAGAGATCTCTAGCCTTTGCCTTTTGCCCTTCTTGCCTTTGGATAAGGGGAGAAAAATATCTCACGCTGGGAAAGACAGAAGGATTATCGGGGCTCCTTTTTCTGTTTTGTGAACCTTGTTTGTTTGCTATTTAAATTTTACGAGGGGTGGTGTTAGCATAAGATTTCTTGGGAACAAAATTTTGGCTGGTGTTTTATGGTAAACCTTTTTTCATCCCAAAGGTAAATTCGTCCTCCTACTTCTCTTCCTTCTCCTCCTCCCCTTCTTGTAAACACTGTGTACATTTTCAAATTGCAGCTATCCTTCTCCCTGACTATTTTGATGGAAGTCTGATACATCTCTGATGTATTCAGAATTAACACAACTTTTGACAAATTATTTACAATGTGAACCATATAAAGGGCTTACTGGCTCCTTAAGTTAAATTTAAATGTAGTTAAAATTGTGAATATTATTTTTCAAAGAGAGAAACCTAAATCCTTTTACGGTTATTAACAAAATAATTAAACATGGGATAGACCACTTGTGTGTCTGTGATGCTATAATTACACATTTGATCTGTGATTCTATCAAAATCATAGCCACAGTGGTTGTAATACATGCAGTGAGGATAGCGCTAGCATAGGTCAGGATTTGGAAATGAGTGGTGGAAAATGCTGAGCTGCAAGTGGCCCAAGGCCCATTCCTTCATTTATGATTTCCTCCATCAGAGGGAAGCGGTGAAGTTCAAAGTTAGATTGCATGCTTTTTACTATTGGGGAAGATTGGACTCAAATCAATCTTTATTTTCTGGTTCTTAAAGCAGTGTGTGAGGATTCAATGCAAAAATTGTTACTTGTTAAAGGTAGAATGACTGAAGTGTAGTTAGAGATGCAGGGTTAGAAGTTCATTTTACAGCCTGGAGATGGTGGCTCATGCCTTTAATCCCAGCACTCAGGAGGCAGAGATAGGCGGATCTCTGTGAGTTGGAGACCAGCCTGGTCTACAAGAGTTAGTTCCAGGACAGCCTGCAAAGCCACAGAGAAACCCTGTCTCGAAAAAAAATGTTCATTTTACAAAAATATTTACTTACTTATTTTTAAATTTCATTTTGCATTCCAAACAAAGTTATCCCTTCCACCCTTCATCCTACCCCACCTTGCCTTCCCCCAAGTCCATTTCCCATCCACTCCTCCCAACAGGTAAGGGCTCCCATGGGGAGCTGACACAGTTTGAGACATTAAGTTGGGGCAGGACCAAGCCCTTCCCCTCTTCCTTAAATTTGGGCATGGTATCCCCTCATAGGGAATGTATTCCAACAAACTAGCTCATGCACAGGGATAGATCCTGGTCCTACTGCCAGGGACCCCTTAGATAACCCAAGCTTCACAACTGTCTCCCACATACAGAGAACCCACTTAGGTCCCATGGAGGGTCCACTGCTGTCAGTCTAGAGTTCATAAGTTTCCATGAGCTTGGTTCAGCTGTCTCTGTAGATTTCTCCATCGTGATCTTGATCTCCCTTGTTCATGTATTCCCTCCTTCCTCTCTCTGACTGGATTCCCGGAGTTTGGCATGGTTCTTTGTTGTAAATCTCTTCATCTGGTTCCATCAATTATTGGAAGAAGACTCTAGCTTCTCTAGAGCTATGGATTGTAGTCTGGTTATCCTTTTATTTATATCTAATATTCACTTATGAGTGAGTACATATCATGATTTTCTTTCTGAGTCTAGTTACCTCACTCAGGATGTTTTTTTTTCTAGTTCCATCCATTTACCTGCAAATTTCATGATGCCGTTGTTTTTTGTTTGTTTGTTTGGTTGGTTTTTCGAGACAGGCTTTCTCTGTATTGTTTTGGAGGCTGTCCTGGAACTCACTCTGTAGACCAGGCTGGCCTCACAGAGATCTGCCTGCCTCTGCCTTCCGAGTGCCGGGATTAAAGGCAATGCTGTTGTTTTTTACAGCTGAGTAATACTCTATTAAATGTACCACATTTTCTTTGTCTATTCTTCAGTTGCGGGTCATCTATGTTCTTTCCAGCTTCTGGCTACTTCAAATAATGCTGTTATGAACATTGCTGAGCAAATGTCCCTGTGGTGTGATTGCACATCCTTTAGGAGTGTGCCCAAGAGTGGTATTTCTGGGTCTTGAGGTAGACTGATTCCCAATTTTCTGAGAAACTGCCATATTGATTTCCAGAAAGGCTGTACAAGTTTGCACTCCTACCAGCAGTGGAGTGTTCCTCTGACTCCACATTATCTCCAACATAAATCAGTATTTTTGATCCTAGTCATCAGTATTTTTTATCTTAACCATCTTGACAGGTATAAGATGCTATCTCAGAGTTGTTTTGCTTTGCTTTTCCCTGAGGATTAAGAATGTTGAACAATTCTTTAAATACCTTTCAGCTATTTGAATTTCTTCTGTTGAGAATTCTCTGTTTCACTCTCCACCCCATTTTTAAAATGGATTATTTGGTATTTTGTTGTCTAGTTTCTTGAGATCCTTATATATTTTGGAGATCAGCTCTCTTTCAGATGCGGGGTTGGTGAAGATCTTTTCTCATTCTATAAGCTGATGTTTTGTCTTGTTTACCGTGTCCTTTGCCTTACAGAAGCTTTTCAGTTTCAGGAGGTCCCATTTATTAATTGTCGATCTCAGTGTCTGTGCTACTGGTGTTATGTTCAGGAAGCTGTCTCTTGTACCAATTTGTTCAATGCTACTTCCCATTTTACCTTTCCTCAGGTAGATCCACTTGGACTTGAGTTTTGTGCAAGGTGATGGAAATGGATCTATTTGTAATCTAGAAGGACATTATTGCAAAGAAGCAACAAGAGTTGATGCATCAAGATCAGGTCACAGCTTCACAGTATGGTCTTGGATAAAACACTCAGCCCACCTGGCCCCCAGTGTTCTCCTTTGCAATGTGTTAATAATAAACAATCATGCATACTGATGGTGTCCACAGTACTGAGTTAAAATATGTTAGCTGTTAGGCCAGCCTGGCACATAGCATGTCTTTGTTAGGTTTTCATTGGTTATTACCTTCTTCAAGCTTCTGAACATGTATTTCTTCTGTGGTATTCTGACCTCTTAAGAAACCAGAGTTAATCCAGTTCTGAACACTTGCTCTCCAGGCACAGTGTGAGGTTATGAAAGAGAAAGCCTCATGAACAGGCAGCAGAGAAGAACTGATTGGAGCCTTAGATACAGAAGGCTCTGGAGTGCAGATGTAGAGAAGGCCATCTGAACGTGGGTTGGTTTCCTGGAAAGGCTGCCGTTACTGGGAAGGAATTTTGAGTTTGCTTTCATGGTGGTGGGGCTAAGCGTCATAGAGCTGAGACAGAATCTAGGAGCAAGGGGAGTCATGGCAGAAGCATAGCCGCCGGAAAGTGTGGAACAATCCTGGGAGCATTGAGACGAAGCTACAAGGAATTAGTGTGTGTGACTGTGGGGTGGTGCTGGTGATAATCTTTCTGCTGACAGTGCCATGAGAAGGGCCGGGTTGTCAGACAGTAGAGGAGAGTCTGTGGAGTAGATCGGTTTGGGAGCGGTAGGCTGAACTGACACCAGCTGCCAAGTGAAGGCTGTGTGAAATGGTTAGTTTCTGGGGTCTCCACAACTTGTCCAATATGTTCTCCTCCTGCAGCTGGGGTGGGCAGGACTGGATAACTCACAGGACCTGGCAGTGTGTACATTTGCAGTGGTGTCTCCCAGCTCTGTTCTAGTAGTCTGGTACCCTGAGACATTACCCAGGCTATTTTTCATTAACAAGGATCGCTTGGAAGTCTTTGACAGAAGTGTGATGGTTAGAACCCTCCCCTGTTCTCATATAGACTCAGTATGCTGGAAATAGATCTTTATCATCCTGCTAATACAATCATTTCTTCCTGTGTTAATATTTAGAAGTTTAAAAATTACAACTACTGAGGTAGATACGACCTATACTATGGATTTAAGTCAGAGGTCTGGTTTGAGTTCTTATGCCTTGTTCCAGTGACACTGTGGCAGAAAGCTGGGTTCTGGTGTGGCTGTTGACGACCTGCCGGATGTCAGACAAGACACTGAGCCATTATGACACTGTGATGTCATCTGTAAAGTGATCTTCCTGGTTCTTCTCCCTTGGGTGGGCATATTTTCATCTCCTGTCATCTTTGGAACAGTCTGCTGTCTGCAGGTGGCTACTTGATACATCTAGCTCTTATTTTTTGACCACTTAACTTTTGGCAAATATTCTGGCATGCTCACAGAAATCTCCTGAGGGCTGCTATTCCACAGAGCCTTACTTTTATTATTGAAGAGACAGAGGTATAGATGGATTAAAATACATGCCCACAATTCCTAGTGAACAAGCGACAGGCATAGAGTAGGTCTAACACAGAGCCCTCAAGCTTTAACCATTAGGCTACACAGTCTTGGGTCTGTGAGAAAGTGGCTCTTCTCCCCTGCCCACTTTTCCCTCCTCCCTCCCTGCTTTGTTCTCTTTCTTGTTTCCCATTTCCTCTTCCTTTCCTAGTTGTAGAGTTTTGCCATGTCGCCTAAGTTAACTTCAAATATGTGATCCTCCTGCCCTATCTTCCTAGTCCTGGCATCATAGGCTGCCATCATGCCATGCTTCATTGTTCTAGTGTGGTTGTTAGAGCTAACCAGACAATGGAAAGGGGATCCCTGGAGCCAGGAATGCACTGATGGAATTTTCCCGGAGAGGCCTGAATAGCAACAGGATTCTGTCTGGGTGGTATATTCCATTCCGTACGGTGATTGGAGACATTGCGTTGCATATTAAGTGGGTTTAAAGTAGACAATAAATGTCAGCCTGTGTCAATCAGATGATTATCTGTATTGAAAAAGGGCCTAGGAGACCTCTGATGTGTTGTTAAATCTTTGGGTGCAGAAAAGCAATCCTAGTTTTCATTGTTTAGAGTACCTGGCATTTCCCCAAAGCTTCACGAGAGTGATTTGCAAGTAGTACACCGCAACGGG